AGGGTGAACTGTAGTCAGAAATTGCCTAAGGAAACAATGGGCCATTGACCAGTACAACCTCTCTAGCCCCCGTGGGCTTAGTGGCTACAAGTTGGATTGCAATCCCAAACGTCACAGTTCGAAACCCCTGGCACTCTGCAGGAGAAAAACTGAACTTTCTACTCCCATAAGGAGTTACGATCGTGGAACCCAACAGGGGCAGTTTTACTCCGTGCTATAAGGGCCCTAGGCTTCAGAAGGGACTCGATGGTGGTGGCTTTCCTGGAAAGAGTGCCGTCTGATGGCACTGTCCAGTAAACGTTGGACTGCTAATGGCAAGGCTCGCAGTTTAAACTAGTGCTCCTCAGGGAAAGTTGAAGCTCTCTGTTCTAAGAACTATTTACAGTCTCAGAGGCCAACTATGGATGGCCATCTCAATGGCAGTGAGTCAGGCTCTCACGGGAGACCAAGAGGGCCCTCGGGCCCTCGGAAAGCCAGCCACTCCCCAAGACGTGGACACATTTACAGATTAGACTGTGTGATATTCACAGGCCTAATGCTAGAAGATAAGAATGTTAGCCTATTTCTGTTTATACATCTGTTTTCTTCCTTAAATGGAGGCTGTGGATGATATGTTGTCTTACTAAGTCAGAAGTTTAAATACACTTACCCAGAAGTTTAAATACCCCCATCCTGTACTTCTGAGGAGCCCTGGTAGCACAGGGCTTACGTCCTCAGCTTACACCACAAAGGCTGGCTGCCACCAACCAGTGTTAGAGAAAGATATGACAATCTGCTTCGTAAAGATTACGTCTTTGGGAACCTCTGAGGCAGTTCTACTCTCTCCTGTCGGATCACGATGAAACACAATCAGCTCAATGGCCTCAGGATGTTGTGCTTCGGTTTCATTTCTGATCCATACCCAATATTCAAGGAAGCAAGTCAAAAAAACCCAAACACTTATTAAAAGGGGAAAAAATATCACTTTGAGGACTAAGGTGTGCCTGATCCTACCCTTAGTACTTCCCACTGCCTCCTGTGCATAATAAGCAAGCTAGATCATGAAAAAGGAAGAGCAGGAAAGAATGGGTGCATTTTAATGACAGTGTTGACCAAGAGTATTAATACATCATGGACTGCCAGAAGAATGAACAAACAGGCTCTGGAAGAAGTAGAGCCAGGTTTCTCCTTGGAAGCAGCTGGCTCTGATACTCTGGATATGTAATCAGATGGGCCAGGCCCTGGAGATGAAGAGGGAAGGCCCCCAGGTAAACCACCAGTTGCTCCGCAGAGAAAGTTGCAGCTCTCTGTTCCAGGAACTATGTAGAAGCTCAGAGGCTGTCCAGATGGCAATGAGTCAGGCTCTCATGGGAGATCAGTGAGGGCCAGCATGCAGAGTGAAGGATTAGCAGGGGACAAAAAGGAAGACCCTCCACAGGAGGAGAAAGACTTCGGAGCCACTGGTGGTTTTGAACTGCTGACCTTGTGGTTAGCAGCCCAATTCATAAACCACTATGCAACCAGGGCACCTCTTCTTTATCATAAAGCTTTTGACAAAGGATTTTGTAGAAGTTACTGTTTCGGCTTATCTTACTGAAAGAACCAAACCCCTTCCAACTCGGTCTGTAAAGTGTACATCCTGTATGGCCCTTTGGATTCGGTCAGACAGAGCTTGGAAGGTGTGTCAGTCCATTTCTCATCTCTCTTTTCTCTCGACCACTTGAGGAATCAAATTCGTTTTCTCCACACAAACAAAGGGAAAAAGTTAAAGAAAAGAAGATCCTCGACAAGATGGGTTGACTCAATGGCTGACACAATGGGCTCCAACATCGCAAACACTTGTGAGGACGATGCAGGACCGGACAGTGTTTCCTTCTGCCTCAATTCTGAGTGCTTTGAGTTGGATCAGAATGGAGGGCACCTAGCAACACCCATTTACAGCTTCCGGTCAAATCATAAGCATTGGCAGTAGAGCCCCTCTGTCACATAGTGGCCAACATTACGAATCTCTTCCCTCACCTTTTTTCCTTGCCAATTGTAAATTTAGCAGAAATATATTTATAGTAACAAATATATATGGCGTAACTTCTCTGTTCAGTGCAAAGCAGTAAGAATCCAACTAATGAAATTACGGAGTTACAGTGTCCTAAAGGGTGGGCCCATAAGCGGATACTGCTAGTACAAACTCACCCTCACCGATGCCAGCTCCTAACGGCCCTATAGGACAGAGCAGAACGGCCTCTAAGAGTTTCTGACACTGTCACATTTTGCCAGAGTAGAAAGACTCATCTTTCTCACTCAGAGTGGTGGTTTCAAACTGCTGACCTTGCAAAGCACTTGCAAAATACAAAAATTGTGTTCACAGCCATTTTCCAATCTTCTGATAAAGTCACACTCATGTCTGTCTACAGCATGTTGTTTTTTTTTTTAATGTTTTCCTTCAGACAAATGACAAATGTGGCATTTTAGAAACTTTTATTCATTTCATATCCAAGTTCTGGGAAAAAATGGAAAAATTATATCATAGAGAATCATTCATTCATGATCACAGGTTATATTTAAGATTTGGATTTTTCTGGTATAAAATACGGATTGTTTGTTGTGTGCTAATATTCTAACCAGAGTACCGACATTACAGTAGGGAAGGCAAAATATTTGCAACTCCAGTTTAGCCCCTTCAAGCAAGCACTGAACTCTAATATTGAATTTTACAATTAAGATAGAGCACTCTCTCCCTAGGATGTCTCATTTTTTGCGGTGCCTGCTCTGGCTTGAAGTGTTGGCTTAGGTTAGGAGAAAATCACTTCCCAAGGTTTTCTACGATTTTTTTTTACGACTACTTCACTTGTTAGAAATACAAGATCTTGGTTTTCAGCGTGTGTGTGTGTGTGTGTGTGTGTGTGTGTGTGTGTGTTTCCCCTTAAACTTGGGCACAGAACTAAAACTAGGCAAACATACACTCAGCTCCCAACTGGAGCGAGCCGGTTTGTAAAAGAAGGTAACCGGCTCAGAGAATCGCTGGGTTGTTAGAGGGGTGTGCCCACTGGCACAGGACCTTACAGGGAGAGAGGCTGCACATTCAGGATGTTTACAAGTAAAAGTAGACGGTGGAAAAGTAGAACACATGGGCCCAGTGTCCTGCGAGCCTGGAGCAAGGGCAATGCCAAATAATTGCTCCTGCAGAAGGAGCCCTTTAGTGCCACACTACACAGTGGGGGGGGAGAGGGGGATAATAAATAATGAGCAAATGTTAATAATAAGGCAGCCCATCTAAAATAGGTAAGTAAGCTAACCACAGAGCTATTTATTTATCTAGACTTTTTTTGTTAAGTTCCATCCAGTCACCAGCGTTTTCGTAAACAGTGGGCATTGAGCTCGGTGCAGGCAGAATCCTGAGTTAAAGCGGCTGGGAGCACAGATCTGCGCAATTAGCAGAGAAATACAAATTGATGCCCAAGGGCAAATAAAAAAAAAGGGACCAGAGAAGGGCGGAGGGCAGGCTCCCGGCCAGCTGCTGCCAAAGTCCACCAACTTGTTTGACTTCATCTCCACGCACGGGGCACCAGGACTGAACTGGCCCGGAGGAGAGTGTTCGGCAGGACCGGAGCACCGAGTGGTGGGAGACCTACAGGCGTCCTACGCGGAGGCGTCCCCAAAGCCGGGGAACCGCACCCCCAAAAGGTCAAGATTAACCCAGTAAATTAATCGGCTTCTTATTTGGTCAGATGCTCAATCCCTGGGAGCAAAGAGGGTCAGCTGGAAAGGGGCGACCCTGTGGGGACGGGAGCGCCGCGATAACCTCCCAGTCCCGCCCGCTAGTCACCGTCCCCGGCCCGCGAGTGGCCACCCTTGCCCTGGGTGCCCTTACCCAGCCAGAAGTGCAGGCGGTAGGCGAAGCCTCGGCTCCCCTGGGCCGTGTGCAACACCAGGTAGGCATCCCCGACGTAGAAGTTGCCGTGGGCGCTCTCGGGCACCGGCACCAGCTCCAGCTTCTCCACCCTCCAGACCTGCAGCCCCGCGCGCCGGCCCGCGCCGGCGAACTCCGGGTGGTCCAGCTCCTGCGCCATGGCCGCCGCGATGTCGTCCCCAGACCTCGTTGAGCCCAGAGGGAACCTTCAACCAGAGGACTCTGGTAGCCCCGGCTTTATAGGGTTCTCGCTAAAGGGGGCGGGGCCCCAAACGGGAGGGGCCGAGAGCTTAGGCGGGTGTTGCTTCCAAGTTCACAAGCCCTTACCCTGGGGCGCAGGAAGATTGCTGGCAACAGGGGACTTCTGGAACCTCCTGGGAATTCCTGCTTCAAGGAAGAGCAGCAGTACTCAAACCGTCGGGGCTAGAGGATTGGCGCCTCCAGTGCATGGTGTTGAGTCTATTCCGACTCCTGACGACCCTGTTTGTAACAGAGGGACCACTGCCGGCCCTGGGCCCTCTTCACAAGGGTGCTTATGTGTGTGGCCCCAGCGCATCCCCAAGGCCATATAACTGCGTTTCCTCCGTTGGCCCATTACCTTCTTTTTTCTGGGTTTCAGATGGGCTGGGAGGCGTGAGTTGAGGCAAGGGCTCCTTGCTTCCCGAGAGGTCCTTCCTGAATTAGAGATGAGCCCCTGCACGGTCGCAGCACCTCCCGCTCGGGAACTGGGTGGGGCGTCCCCTCCGAACAGGAGTACATCATTTAAAAGGAAAATAATCACTACCCAGACACCTGCCTGGTCGTCAGCTTCGGCATTTCGTTGGCCAGGCTTCCTCCACTCTGAGCGCCCGAAGTTGTTCTCCGTCTTGAGCTTTCTAGTTTGCAAAGGACGACAGACAAACAGCCCGTCAGGTTTCTCTAAATCTCCCAGGAGCTCGGGAGCCTGTGGCTGGCTGCAATTGTCTCTTGCCACCTGCTTGCTTTTGCCAAGAGCTTACTGAAAAACAGCGGCCTCCCCCAGAGGCCCTAGTCTGTCTGTCCGCAGCTGTGTGGGTGGCTCTCCTCTCCTGCCTGCCTGCCCTCTGAGTTTCTAATATTACCTGACTCCAAGGCGCCCGCCTCCTCAGTGCTTTCCTTACAAGCTTTTTGTTTTGTTTTTGCCTTTTTTCCGCCATGAGCACAACACTTTCGAACAGAGATAAAAATGTCTTGCTCATTTTGCTGGCTTTAGCCTAGGCTGATACAGCAAATGCTGTTACAAAAGAGCAATTTGCTTAGGATGCAAAAGATTAGAGGACTTTGAGTTTTGTTCCGCATGTTGCTTCCATTCCATCCCAGGCTTGCTAATGGGATCCCTTTCAGGTGGGTCAATAGTGCTGGCCGAGTGCCATCTAGTTTTTCTGTTTCGGAATTTTGTTGAGGCTGCAGGGGCCTTGACTGGTCCATTGGTCCACTGGACGAATTGCTTCCATTTCTAATGTCTTTGGTTTCTTCACTTTCTTTTGCTCAGGATGAGGGGAGAGAACAGTAGTGGTGCCTGAGATGGCCATTCACTAGCCTCGAAGACCTCTGTGGCTACTGACCAAAGTAGGAGTTCCAAAATTGCCCTTTGGGTTATGTTATGTTGATCTTGGTGTTCCCCCAAGACTACCATCCTGAGCCCTCGGGCTCAACAACTCCGTCCCTCAAGGTGTTTCGTTGGGCTAAGAAGTTTTCGTAACATTGACCCCTACCTGTGCTACTGTACTCATGGAGATACTTGCAATGTAGGTAAATACCTAGGTTGAAATGCCTCTGTCAAACATAGAAATAGATATTCTTAGGGTTAGTCCCATTCTCCTTCCTATACCTATGCATGCTTATCTGTGCTCTGCATCCACATACAGATGATTGTTACTAGAGCTGTGTCTAGTAGTATCTACCTCTATTGCCTTTTTCGTTCTTGTACTCCTACCAGGGTCTTTCTTGGCCTCCATCTTTTTTTTTTTTTTTTCTGACCTACTTCTTAGTATAAAAAAGATCAGGCTACTGGTTGAATAGAGACTGGTGAGTGAAACTCTGCCCAGTCCTGCACCATCGTCACAGTTGTTCTTATGTCTAAGCCCATTGTTGCAACCACTGTGTCAGTGCCGTCTTGTATGGGCCTTCCTCCTTTGCCCTGCTCCTCTACTGTACCAAGCACGAATTCCTCCTCCACTAACTGGTTCCTCCTGATAATATGTCCAACGTACACCATCCTTGCCTCTAAGGAGCATGCTGGCTGTACTCCTTCCAAGACAGATTTGTTTCCTCTTTTGGCAGTCCATGCTACTTTCGATATTCTTCACCAGCACAATAATTCAAGTGCACAACTCTTCTGTGGTCTTTCTTACTCAGTGTCCGACTTTGTGGCAGTTACATAATCTACTGTCAACTTGAGGAAGGGGTGGAGTCTAGCCTGTCAACCAGGTTATAGCCAGTGAGACCTTTGTGTGGGCATAGCCTTCTCCTGAGGATTCTGGGAACTCCTGTCTTCCTCCCAGGATATGGAACACACTTTCTCTGCTTTGTCTTTCTGCTGACAAGCCACATGGAGCTATGCTGATGGAGTCAGAGTTCTGGAGCTGGAGAAGCCACGTGGAGACCCACACCAGTGCTGAGATGCTTCCACTGCCACTGGATCCACAAGACTTTCTACCCACTGGCTTGTGATCTTCCTGCGTATGGTGTCATTGTATGTGTTGCTTGAGTCTGGAGAGGAATTTACAGACTGGTATTGGACATATGGTCTAATATCAGACTTCTGGACTTGATCTTGGCAGGGTTGGGATGTTTTCTTAATATATAATTACTCTTTTATATAAAGCTCTTTCTTATACATGTATGACTGTCTTGAATTTGTTTATCTAGTCAACCCAGACAACACAAACTTTCAGGTGCATAGGAGGTCATTGAAAATACCATGGCTTGGATCAAGTGCATCTTAGTTCTCAAAATAACCTCCTTGCTTTTCAACACTTTAAAGATGTCTTGTGCAACAGATTTATCCAGTGCAATGCATCATTTGATCTATTAACTGATGCTTCCATGAGAATTGATTGTGGATACAAGCAAGAAGACATCCTTGACAACTTCTGATAAGAGTGTTATTTGAATCAAATGAGATGTCGCAAGTAAAGCATTTGTGACTGTAACATCTGAAATGATCCATAATTATTAGCTTTCGTTATGTGGTGGAGAGATTCCTATTAGCCCTTCAGCTCTTCTTTCCACCATTCTTCCCCCTACTCTCTTTTCCAGGAGGTCGACTTTCACCTGGGCTCCCATTTCCTCTAGCTTGGAGTTGGATTGGAGACCAAAAAGAATGAGAAGAGTGAGGACAGATTTATTTCCTTGTCCCCTGTAAGTCACAGTTCCTTTAAGGGCAAATAGCACCATGTGACTTTCACTCCTAATGGATTCCAGCAACCGTCCCTTCAGGCACACTATCCATTATGACTCCTCTAAATCCTTTGTATGTATATATATGTATATAAATATATGGCATATATATATATATAAATGGCATATATATATGCCATTTTTTGTTTTAAAAAATTACATTTTAAATCTGAAATTTTCCATATGCCATCTCTTATGAGTTATTAGTTGAGATCTTGGCTAGCTACATCCTCCTTTTCACTCCCAACCAAAACAATGAACTCACTGCCATTGAGTCAAAAATGACCTCTAGAACAGGAGAACTGCCCCTGTGGGTTTCCAAGACTGTAACTGTTTATAGGAGTAGAAAGTCCAGTCTTTCTCCTGAGGAACCACTGCTGCCCACCTCTCAGATCACAGCCCAACACGAACCACTACGCCCCCCCCGAACCCTGAAACAGGAAAGCTATGTACATTGAGCCTCATTTGACAGAGGAGGAAACGGAGACTTCAGAATTTGCCAAAGGGGAAATATGTGGCCAAAGAATGCAATCCAGAAACATGTGCCCTTGACAAAAATTTCCTCTTGGGATCCAAATGAATTTGCCAAGATTTGTCCACATACATAGACCTTACATTGTCAGATTGTTGCAAGTTGTACCTGAGAAACTTCTGGTCTAGTGTGTGTGGCTCAAGCATCACTAACAACCATTACATGCCTTGATGTCTTTATGTGTGATATGGAAACCCCTTGCTCTCTTCTTCCCTATAGAGAAAAACATATGGTATTAAGATAGTTAAAAATAAGAGCTATAATTTAAGTTCAGTTTCCATTTTGATAATAGTTTATTTCCTGAAGATATAAAAAGGACTTTACTATAAATTAAAGTAAAAACTTCCCTCTATCTTAGATCAAGACCAGGGGGGTGGAGAGGGTATGGTGAACTAGGGGGACAGATGTAGTCTTGGGACACAAAATTTAAGAGGACACTTTAAAAAAAACCTCAATAGTTAAGATATGTAATACTTTAATAATTTTCAAAAATCAGAATCAACACAAAAACCATGGTGAATATAATATTCACTTTTAAATAAAGATATGACTTAATATTGCTAGATGAGGCCATATTGGAATGCAAAGCAAAGGGAAAATATTGATCTTATATTTATTCAAATAAGAAAATTTGATCATTACATCATGACATATTACACTAATTTGATTTTACTACAGAAGTACTTATATTTATCACTGATTTTTTTCCTTTAGTGTGTGCTTAAATTGCATGCCCGAAGCAAGTACTTCCCTTGAATAACTCATCCTGGCCCTACCTTAAACTCAAACCTGCAACTTCCTACTAGACACAACAACATCATCCTAATTAATCCCAAAACTGATCAAATGCGGCATGCTCAAAACAATCGTATCATTTCCTCCTATCCTGTTCTTCCTCATTTCATTAGCAGCACGATTTAATTTTGACACAGCGCTCTCGCTTCATCAACAGGCTTGTCCAACATGCTTCTCACATTGCTCATGTTCTTGTCCCCGGGACAGTTCCTTTTCGTCCTTCAGGAGGGACCTGCCTCATTGGCTGTGTGGCTGCAGCCCATGCTGAAATTTGGATCCTTCACGTGTCAGCTGATTGGCACCTTGGTGAATTGCCTAACATTATTTTGTTTCTTTATCATCTGTAGAATGTGGATACTTTGAGAAATGGTCTCATAAGGTTATTAAAAGGATTACATGGAAAATAGATGCAA